CCCCCGCCGTGTCTTTCCCACCCACTAGCCCGCCGCCCGCCCTTCCAGCCTCAGCCAATCCAGCGGCAAACCTCGCCCCTTCCGCCCGTATCGTCCCGCCAAGCTTTAAAGTGCGCGAAAAAGGTTCTCGATTATTGGAGTAGTTCTGGCTTTAAAGAAGTGCCAACCTGCTGCAAAACAAACCCAACCGTCTGCAGTGCAATCATCGGCAGAGCTGAGCCCGTTGAAGACAATAGCTCTAGGCTGGAGAACAAAGTTTGAGTCCAGTAGTGCCTTAAAGACCAACAAAATTTTATTCAGAGTGTAAGCTTTCGTGTGCAAGCCATACTTCTTCAGATAAATGGAATAAAATTTCAAGGTTGACGTAGAGGAAAAAAGAGGGTGGGGGCAGCTGTTAGGAGGGGCCGCTCAGAGCCAAAATGGACACACAGAGTTGGAGTAACTGCACGCGATTCCATTGTTATTGTAACAAACTAAGTTACAGCTCACGCATAAGCACCCAGAAGTAGAGAAAATGGGAACAATGGGCTCCAAAAACTAATAAAATGCAAGAGGAGTAGTCTGAGATATTTCTTTGAAGGCTGTAAAAGTATACAAGATGCGAGTAGTCACTGTATTTGTATACTTTCGTTTTTGGCACAGAGTAAACTAGATTACACCAATAATATATGTCTATTTCGAGACCTGTTCATAGTTTTCTTGTGCAGGGGCATTATACCCACTGAGGTCTATCCCCTCTGCTAATCCTGCCCTGCCCCATTCCCATCTCCACCTCCAAATGTCCAGGTATTTCCCAACCCAGAATTAGCAACCCTTTGAAATAGTGGTTAAGACGCTGAACTGCAAGCTGTGGAAGGTCGGTAGTTCAGCAGTTCGAGACCCGAGTTGCTGCATGACGGAGTGAGCTCCCGTCTCTAGTCCCAGATCCTGCCAACCTAGCAGTTCGAAAGCAAGAAATTGCAAGTAGATAAATAGGGACCACTTCAGTGGGAATGTAACAGCGTTCCATGTGCCTTGGTGTTTAGTCATGCCAGCCACATGACCACGAAAATGTCTTCGGACAGTGCTGGCTCTTCGGCTTTGAAACGGAGATGAGCACCACAACCCTAGAGTCGGATTCGACTGGCTTTCAAGCAAGGGAACCTTTACCTTGACCTTTTATGAAATAGCCTAAGAAATAAAAGTCTTTAGCTCATGACGGAGCTCTTCCGCCAGGCGTTTGAGTAGGAGCCGCCACGACTGTTATCATCTGTCTACGACTATTACTATCTGTCCTAGCCCTTTATTACCAACTCGCTGTGAGCGCTAAAATGGTGGTACTGCGTGGAGCTGTGGCCACTAAGGATACTATCCTGATAATGTCATCTGTTCCCTTGTTAGATATTATGGCGAGCACTTAAGTTGTATTGAATGTTTTTAAATGCAGTTTTAATGTTTTATGTATTGGGCATTGGCCCCATTTGTACACCGCCCTGAGCCTGTTCGTGGGAGGGCGGGTTATAAATTTAAATAAATAAATAAATGATAAAAACCCTAAAACACAAGCAAAGGTTCCAAAGTGACTCTCTAAAGGTGTTCCATAATGTGGGTCCTGTACTGTTTCCTCTCCCATCTCATCACAGTGAAAAGGAATATGATGCAAGGCCTTGTCAAGTGTTTGAATGAGTAGGGAGGAAAGGAAACAGGAGAGTACAAACTTCCTGTTGTATGTAGGATCCAATCATTCAAGGCTGCATGAGGACTTGATCAGTTGGAAAGATTCTTCTGTGTAACTCTTTTATGCACAACACAAAATCATGACGTTAAGACAAGAAAGTCATCCCCATTTTTTTTTAAATTTGGTGCCTGGTTTACTATTTAACACCCGGCTATATAAGAACAAGCTGATCTACTGACAAAACAGCTAAAAGAGAACAAGCATTATGAACTGTTTAAATGGTAACTGCAATTAAAATAGAATGCAATGATTATACTTAAATATATATTTGTGTGTGTGAGAATTGTATATTCCAGAACATGTACACAAGTTCAGTTATAGAAGGGGAAAGCATTTAAATTTCTCATTGTCCTAAGGGGATCAAAGTACCAAAAACAATTTTCTATATATAATCTGAATGCATACCTATAAAGAGAATTCTTTTTATAAAGTTTTAAAAATAATATTTTACATTAACTCTACTTATTCAACTTACCAATATATATATTTAAATATATTTATACCAATTAAAAGAAAAACAATACAACTGTCAAATAAGGAGGAACATTTTATCTAATCAATAAAAAGTCACTGAAAAAAGCTCAGTAAAAGTATAGATAAAATGCTCTGTGCTAATAAAATGCCGGTTAAAACAAAAGAAAAGTCTTACATCACTCACCAAAAGTGAAGAAATCATACAATTATTTTTTAAAACAGAATCTCTCTCTCTCTCTCTTTCTCTTGTATTTTTATATGTGTATGCACGCACACCCATGCCTGGAAGTCATGGTGACTTCTGGTGACCCTTAGTGGGGCATGGAGGATGTTCAGAGAAGTGGCTGATATAGTCTGCCTCTGCCTCCCAGCCCTGGTATTCCTTGGAGGTGTCCCATCCAAATACTTGCCAGGGTTAGCCCTGGTTAGCTTCACAAGATCTGATGAGATCAGGCTTGCCTGGGCTATTCAGGTCAGGACAAGAAATCATACAACTTTTTAATGCATCTTTTGGGGGGGAAATTTCAGAGGATATGAGTAGCCACTGTGAAAGATCCCCTAGGGCTGGTCAGATAAGGTAAGCCATCCATTTGACTACAGCTTCCAGACAGAGATTCAGCTGTACCTTAGTGTTTAGTTAATGAAAGCATATTATAAGTATACTGATAACACCAACCCCAAAGCTCATTCAGCGATTTCATACAGAAGTTACCACCAGTTAGAGTGTCAACACTTGCAAAACCCCATACTACATGTTCCAGAATGATCACTTGACATCTCCAATGATAACTGTACAATAAAATATTAATTCTATCGGCTATCTGACCCTAACATTCCAAGTAGTTGTTCAAATGGTCCACAACAATGGAATGGCTAACTGTATTAAACACTGATAGGAGAACAACCGTAATCAAAATGGAGGTGTAACGATTCCATGTTTTACTGTGTGTGTGTGTGTTTAAAAGTTGGCTGGCATGGCTGTGTGAGGATGATCTAGAATGCTGGACTCAGGCAAGTGATATGATTGGTGAGTGACAGAGAGGGGGAGGGGTTTTGGAATGGATGCTGTGTGGATGATTGGAATATCTATCTGGTGTGTCTGTTAGGTATGACAGTTGAGAAAAACAGTTAGTCAGAGCAGAGTGTGCTGTGTAAAAAGAGTTAATATGAGTTTTGTCCTGAGGTCTCTGTGTGAGAAGTTTTCCTGTGTGAAATATAAGAGTAAAAGTCTCTGTGTTAAGCAGACGGTTAAGTTCTGTGTTATAAGAGTTACAATTGAAAGCTGAGAGTCTAAGAAAAAGTAGTGAAAAGTGTTACAAAGTTGCCTATGAAATATCCCTGTCAGTGGAGAGAGGCTTGTGAGAGACACCAAGCCATGGTTCAAATCATTCCCAGTACTGTTTACATTGTTCACCCTCGTGTTTATACTTTTGTTAAATAAATCCTATTTACTTCAAGTTTACCAGCTAAGTAAAGAATCCTTCCTCAGACCACATAGTTCCTCGAAAGGCCTAGACCCCGTGCTACAATACCAACCCCAGAAGCAAAGAGAAAAATTGGAATTTATTGAAATTCCTGGTGGCAGCCAGAATACCCAAAGAAAAAAAACCCATAAGAACTTTTAAAGTAAAACTAGACCTCCCCAGATAAGAGGTCGTCACAGGAGGCAATTCATCCTGACTACCTGGAGGCAGTTTAAGCTGAGAATGGACAGTTGGCCCAAGATGGCCCCATTAGCTTTATGGCTGAGTGAAGATCTGAACCCAGATCTCCCCACTCATAGTCAACTATACCACACTGGCTTTCCGCACCTTCCAGTCTAGAACTGGACTTACGCATCATATGAGAAGTCATAAAAACTAAACTGAAAAGGGTTGAAAAAGCTGTTATGTGTGGTATGGGACAATAATAACTAGCATTTATGTAGCATTTAGAGCACTGAAAGCATCTCATGTACATAAGAACAACTCTGTAATGTGGGTCGTACTCTTCCCCCTCACACACACAAATACAGACAGGGTGGATTGTTAGAGGGGCTCCTGCAGAAAGCAAATCAGTGAATTCACTGGTGAAGCAAAATTTGAACCAAGCTTATAAGTACTTGTAGAAAAGACACTTTATTTTTTTTTAATACAATATATTTTATTGATATATAAAGTGCAATTAACATAAAAATGTATAAACTTAGTAAGGTGTATCAATACAGTTATAAGTAATATTTATATGCATAACAGTGAACAATTATACACTGTAAGTGATGAACCATACAAATTACATAAGTGGAACCATAAGAAACAAAAAGAAAGCCTACTTAGTGTTTAAGATTTTAAGTACTTGATCTTTAAAAAGTATCAGTAAGTAGTCTTATGTACAGTTGCTAAACTTAGGTAGAAGTATATTGGTTACCAGAGGTGTAAGGCATCAATTTCTTTAGGAGTGTCTTCAAATTGTTTTAAATATTCTAATATTGGAAACCAGATAGAAACAAAAGATGAGGGATTGGGAATCTTGTCGCGTAAGATTATCCGAGTCGCGTAAGATTATCCGAGAGTTTTGCCATAATGTATAAATGTAATGTATAAATCCCAT